ATTCAGCATGATACTCTGAAGTAAAACATAAAAAACTTAAGCATGCCCATGTAAGCCCAAGTAAATATTACAGAAAAATATGGCCCAAAATGTGTCTTAGCCTCAGTTAGGAAGCACTAGTAGAATTAAGACAAAATCATGAGAACTATTAACATTTTTTTCTCTGAGAGTAATACAGGCTGTCATCAGATTTCTAGATCACTCAATCACATAATATGTAGTGTCCATCTATATACAAACAACTAAAAATAACTTGCTTGCAGTTCTTATTTGAGTGACTGCTATTACTTCTGGTCACCGCAATCAAAAAAGTTTAAATGCTCTTTTTAATATGCTGATGTCAGCATCTTGCTAACTAGGGAAGTTAATAGGGCAATTGGTGAACAAAACCAAAAGAAGTACTGAAAAGTAGCATGCCTAGTAACACATGTTCACACACATCGGAAAGAAACAAAATAGGGAAAGCCTACAGCCTATACCATCTGACCAATTTACTGTATGTGATGGACACTAATCCCCTGCAGAGGTATGACCTGTCATGTTGCTCTACTAATTGTGAACAGATATGTGTATGCATCTCTCTAAAAAAGACTTTTCACTTCAGTCAGTCATTTGAATCAGTATATTATTACTCCTGCCAATTCTCCTAAATTTTTTTGTTATTAAAGTATTCTTTTTTATTTTTAGTTTTTTATTTTGGTATCATTAATATACAGTTACATTAGCAACATTATGGTTACTAGACTCCTCCCATTATCAAGCCCCACCACCACCACATACCACATTACAGTCACTGTCCATCAGCATAGTAAGATGCTTTAGAATCACTACTTGTCTTCTCTGTGTTGCAGCGCCATCCCCATGCCCCCCACCACATTATACATGCTAATCATAATACCCCCTTTCTTTTCCCCCCCTTATACCTCCCTTCCCACCCATCCTCCCCAGTCCCTTTCCCTTTAGTAACTGTTAGTCCATTCTCGGGTTCTGTGAGTCTGCTGCTGTTTTGTTCCTTCAGTTTTTCTTTGTTCTTAGATTCCACATATGAGTGAAATCATTTGGTACTTTTCTTTCTCCACCTGGCTTATTTCACTGAGCATAATACCCTCTAGCTCCATCCATGTTATTGCAAAGGTAGGATTTGTTTTCTTCTTATGGCTGAATAATATTCCATTGTGTATATGTACCACATCTTCTTTATCCATTCATCTACCAATGGACATTTAGGTTGCTTCCATTTCTTAGCTATTGTAAATAGTGCTGCGATAAACATAGGGGTGCATCTGTCTTTTTCAAACTG